CTCTGTGGAAGGCGGTCTACCACCTGTTACGCGCAGCCCGGAGGTCATCGTCCGGGCACCATGTCTGGACCGCCCCATGCAGGTACCCTCTCTCCCGAAGTGGAGGCTCCATGTGCGCCACGTAGCACGCGCTGTTGCTACTGGTCTCCACGTGCTCTTCGGCGAAGGCAGAGACAAGATAGCGGACGATGTCCCCGACGACATCARGGCGCGGGCCAAGCCACGAGTCCGGCACGACATTGGACAGCTTCTTCACGAACAAGACAACCTCCGCAAGGCTGCTGTCTCGCTCGTACCCTAACCCGGCCACCATCCTCATCGTGAGGAGGCCATTAACAAGCGCGTAGTAAACGCACATGTGCTCGTTCATGAGGCTGGGTCCCCAATCCATGTTCTGATGACGCTCTGTTCCCCGTTCCAGCCGGGTCTCCTGCACGACCACCKCTTTCCCGTCGACCACCTCCCTCACCACAGCGGATACGTCCGCCATCTCTCTCTCTCTCTCTCTCTCTCTCTCTCTCTCTCTCTCTCTCTCTCTCTCTATCTATCTATCTATCTATCTATCTATCTATCTATCTATCTATCTATCTCTCTATCTATCTATCTATCTATCTATCTATCTATCTATCTATCTATCTATCTATATATCTCCATCTCTCTCTCTATCGCTCTCCCTTTGCCTTCACGTCGCTTCGCGATCTCTTCTCCCCTGTCCGATCTTGCTCCCTTCTTCCGTACTCCTAGTAAGTGATAGTGCACAACTCTCCTCATTGGTAAGTGACAACCAAACTTTTCTCTCTCTCTCTCTCTCTCTCTCTCTCTCTCTCTCTCTCTCTCTCTCTCTCTCTCTCTCTCTCTCTCTCTCTCTGCCTTCACGTGCAGGCAACTCCGCATTTCGCGACGAATTCGTCGTCGACTGAAGAACGCCCACCAACGACTGCGCTGCCCAGCGAAGCCGCGACTGCCCACATATATATACACAGGCACCGGCCACAGACACACCTGCACAACGGGCAAGACGGGTGCCGACTGTCGTTTCCTCGTCCCGACATCCACGACGGGTGTCCCATCACTTGTCCGGTCACCATCAACTGGTGTGTCCACAAATATGTACACACCGGTTGATGGTGACAGGACAAGGGAGGGGACGCCCGTTGTGGACGTCGGGGGTGGGAAACGACAACCGATACCCATCTTTATATATATATATATATATATATATATATATATATATATA